ACAAGTCCAGTCACCCTGCACAAGGAAAGAGAGCAGCAGTGAGCGGTCTTTATTACAGGAAGCTCCCGCACAGAGGTGAAGTTTCACACTGCAAAAATCAAGAGACAAACCTGCAACCGAATAGATGAACCAAAACACAAAATAACATTTTTGCCCGGCTGCTGCTATAAAAGTGTCCTCTATGATGGTAACGGTGATGTTATTAATAAGGAAAATAGCAGCACTTCAAAGTGCAACAGTTACCTCTAAAGTGCACTGTAAGGAGCCGCTGGTGAAACTGACACTTCTCCCCCGGATGAATGCACTCACAGCCAGGCACACAGCATTTTCTTCACTCTCCCATTGGCTCGAAGGAACAATCTAGGGGTGTCTTTTTGGGGATTTTATTGGACTGTTGAACTTGGATGGGGTAGAGGGAGCATGGGATACCCCCAAAACTGAACTGTACATTTGGAGGAATTTATAAGTATAGTCCCCCCTCATTACAGACCCCCCTTTCCACTAATTATAGACCCCCCCTTCCTCAGTACAGACTCACTCCCTCAATACAGACCCCTCTCCACTAAGTATAGACCCCCCTCCACTAAGTATAGACCCTCCTCCCTCAGCACAGAACCCCCTCTTTCAGTACAGACCTCCCCTCTCCACTAATTATAGACCCCCCTCCTTCAGTACAGACCCCCCTCTTTCAGTACAGACCCCCCCTCTTTCAGTACAGACCTCCCCTCTCCACTAGGTATAGACCCCATTCCCTCAGTAAACACTCCCCTGCACTACCTACATACCCCCCTCCCTCAGTATAGACCCCCCTACACTATGTACAGACCCCCCTCCCTCAGTATAGACCCCCTCCCTCAGTACAAACCCCCTCCACCAAGTATAGTCCCCCCTAAGTGCAGACCCCCTCCCACAGAACAGACCCTCCTCCCACAGTACAGTCCCTCCTCCCACAGTAAAGACCCTCCTCCCACAGTACAGACCTCCTCTCTCAGTATAGATCCCCCTCCCTCAGTACAGACCCCCCTCCCACAGTACAGACCCTCCTCCCACAGTACAGACCCTCCTCCCACAGTACAGACCCCCCTCCCACAGTACAGACCCCCTCTCTCAGTATAGATCCCCCTCCCTCTGTACAGACCCCCCTCCCACAGTACAGACCCCCCTCTCTCAGTACAGACCCCCCTCCCACAGTACAGACACTCCTCCCACAGTACAGACCCCCTCTCTCAGTACAGACCCCCCCTCCCACAGTACAGACACTCCTCCCACAGTACAGACCCCCTCTCTCAGTACAGACCCCCCTCCCACAGTACAGACCCCCCTCCCACAGTACAGACACTCCTCCCACAGTACAGACCCCCTCTCTCAGTATAGATCCCCCTCCCTTGGTACAGACCCCCTCCCTCGGTGTAGACCCCCATCCACTATGTACAGACCCCTGTCCCTCAGTACAACCCCCCTTCCTCGGTATAGACCCCCCTCCCTTGGTGTAGACCCCCATCTACTATGTACAGACCTCTCTTCCTCAGTATAGACCCCCCTCCCTCAGTACAACCCCCCCCACCAAGTATAGTCCCACCTCAGTACAAACCCACCTCCACTAACTACAGACCACCCTCCCTCTGTACAGACCTACCTCTCAGTATAGGCCCCCTTCCTGAGTACAGACCCCCTCTCTCCACCAAGTATAGCCCCCCTCAGTACTGACCCCCCCTCCCTCAGTACAGACCCCCTTCCACTATGTACGGACCCCCCCCCCCCCTCAGCACAGACCTCAGATTGGCGTGGGCCATACACAGTTGTGTCCCTTCTCCTGTGTACATGTAAACAGCTGAGGAGGGTAAGGCGGCTTCGGTCCTCTGCTGTGTGAGACAGCGAGACACCCGGGGACAGAGATGGTAACCCAGACAGCCGTCGAGAGATGCAGATCAGTGACACGACCAGGGGCGGACTGACCATTTGGAAACTCGGGCACTGCCCGAGGGCCTGGGGTCATTAGGGGGCCCCATGAGATGCCCCTGGTACCCTTTTCATAGGCTTTTTTTAGTTTGGGCAAGGACACAGGGGCCCCATGAACCCCTATTGCCTGGGGGCCCCATGAACCCCTATTGCCCGGGGGCCCCATGAGTTGTCAGTCCGCCCCTGTTCACACCCATGTGATCCAATTGTGGTGTGGACTAAGAAAAAGGGTCCTGCACTTTTTTAATGCGGATGTGCACCACACAGAAATCGCATGATTTGCACAGGAATGTGGTGCGGTTTCTATTCGAATCACATGCGATATGCTGCACATCATCAGGCTCACAGTTACAGGGTCAGTGCACACTCCATGCGTTTCAGTTGCTTTTTTTCTGCATCCAAATGCACAGAAAGTAGGATCTATGGTTGTCAATGTCATAGTTCACATCAGTGCTTTCAGTTCCAGTGCGTTCTGGCTGCAGAAAAAAAAGTGGAACAGACTGCAATTTTTTCTGCACAGAACTGCACTGGAACGCATTAAAACGCATCAACAACGCACCAAAATGCATCAAAAACGCTCTGGAACACACATGTCCCTATTGAGGGCCAGTTCACACTCCATGTGGTTCAGTTGTTTTTTTCCTGCATCCAAAATGCACAGAAAGTAGGTTATATGGTTGTCAATGTCACAGTTCACATCAGTGCTCGCAGTTCCAGTGCGTTCCGGTTGCAGAAAAAAAAGTAGCACAGGCTGCATTTTTCCTGCATAGAACTGTCCTGAAATGCGGTAAAATGCAGAAAAAACTCACCGGAATGCACATGTCCTTATTTAAATTGAAGAAAAAGAGAGGAGAAAAAATTAACTGGAAAGCATCAAAATGGAATGCGCCCAAAAACGCGTCAAAAACGTGCATGCAGAAACGCATCCGAAATGAAAAGAATTAGGGCCGGTTCACACTCCATGCATTTCTGTTGCTTTTTTTCTGCATCCAAAACGCACAGAAAGTAGGTTCTATGGTTGGCAATGTCATAGTTCACATCAGTGCTTTCAGTACTGGTGCGTTCCGGGTGCAGAAAAAAAAAGTAGAACGGGCTGCACAGAATTGTACTGGAACGCGGTAAAACACATTAAAAAAACGCACCGGAACACACATGTCCCTATTTGAACTGAAGAAAAAGAGAGGGGGAAAAGATTCACCGGAATGCGTAAAAAGTGCATCAAAAATGTACCGGAAAGCGCCAAAAACACATCAAAAACGCGCATGCGGAAACGCATCTGGAACGCATTTGAACTGCGTTTCTATGGCGTGAACCGACCCTAAGTCTTAGGCCTGGCTCACAAAAATGCAAACATGTGGTCAAGAGAGAGGGAAACACTGCAGAAAAGCACGTATTGCGTTTTTGCTGCAATTTTTGCCTAGTTTTTTTGATGAGTTTTGCGTGTTAAATCTGCCCGGCACCAAGAAAAAAATATATGAAAAAAACGCAAGTGCAAAAACACAAAACGCAATGCAGAAATGGCTCAAACGCAAACTGCAAAGGTGGGAACCTAGCCTTAAAATAATAAAGCGTAGATACCTTTATATTGTCTTACAGATACAACCAAACCTTGGAGGGCAACCATCGTGCTGATGCGTCCTGCCATGAAATTGAGTTTGACACCTCTGCCATGTGGGGGGGGGGGTGGATTTGGTAACATTTGGACAAAAAGTGGTCACAACATAGCAAAATCTTGGAGCTGCTGTACAAGAAAGTATTGAACAAAACCAAAAAAACATTAATTTTAAAACCACAAAGTATAAAATTCCATAATTTGGGGAATGAGAATTGGGGTTAATTTATTTTTTTAGCCAAAAAAGCCAAAAAGAAAAGAAAACAAAAAAATCTATCTATTATCTATTATCTATCTATCTATCTATCTATCTATCTATCTATCTATCTATCTATTATCTATCTATCTATCTATCTATTATCTATCTATCTATCTATCTATCTATCTATCTATCTATCTATCTATTATCTATCTATCTATTATCTATCTATTATCTATCTATCTATCTATCTATCTATCTATCTATCTATCTATCTATTATCTATCTATCTATCTATCTATCTATCTATCTATCTATTATCTATCTATCTATCTATCTATCTCTATTATCTATCTATCTATTATCTATCTGTCTATCTATCTATCTATCTATTATCTATCTATCTATCTATCTATCTATCTATCTATCTATCTATCTATCTATCTATCTATCTAGCTATTATCTATCTATTATCTATCTATCAGATGTTGCTTGCTTTAGAGCTCTCTTTGTCTAATTGAAACTCCAGCAGTAGCTTCCTTTCGGATACACTTGTCTTTTGTCAAAAACCTCAGATTGAGTTGTCAGCTAAGCGATGTCAGACACAGATGACTCAGCACCTCAGCTTGCGCTGCCAGAGTTGCTTAAGGCACAGCTGACTCAGAAAAACCTCAGCTTGAGCTGTACACTAAGTTCCAGTTTTGTGACAACATTTCTTTGATCTTATCTCTGCAAACATGTGGTCAAGAGAGAGGGATCAATGCAGAGGTACTAGACTGCCACCTGCTGGCTGGATAGAGTATGACCGAATCGCGATCAATATTCCATATTTAATTGATTAAAAATATATTATTACAATTAATTTTAAAAAATAAATATTAAAAATTAGCCCTAAGCCTAAAAGCTAAATTAAATATATACAAAACCAAAATACATTACAATTAAAAATTTTAAGTAAATATTGTATCAAAGCAAAAGCTTTGCTGAGACCGCACCCACGGTGTATCCATATGACCCAGGGGTGTCAAACTCAATCTCATCGCGGGCCCCATCAGCATTATGGTTGCCAGAAAAATGGCCGGTTGTATCTGTAACATGATGTAAATGTATCCAGTTTATCAGAGAATAGTCTCAGGAACTTAACCAGGCACCCCTGCCAAACTGCATCAAAAGGTGGGTGTGGCCAAAAGGCAAACAGTGTGAGGATTTTAAAGGCACACAAAATACCAGGAGTGCGAAGTTCAAGGATGTGGTATGTATTGAGTGAAGTTTCAGGGTGTCCCATGCACAGAGTGGCAGGGTTCAGGGGTGCACTACATGCCAAGTGCATGGTTCAGGGGTGCACAATGTAACCAGCACAGTTTCAGAGGTGCGCTACGTACAGGCTGCAGCATTCAGGGTGCGTTACGTACAGAGTGCAGGGTTCAGGGGTGTGTTACGTACAGAGTGCAGGGTTCAGGGGTGCGTTACGTACAGAGTGCAGGGTTCAGGTGTGCGCTACGTACAGAGTGCAGGGTTCAGGTGTGCGCTACGTACAGAGTGCAGGGTTCAGGTGTGCGCTACGTACAGAGTGCAGGGTTCAGGTGTGCGCTACGTACAGAGTGCAGGGTTCAGGGGTGCGCTACGTACAGGCTGCAGTGTTCAGGGATGCGCTACGTACAGAGTGCAGGGTTCAGTGGTGCGCTACGTACAGAGTGCAGGGGTTCAGGGGTGCGCTACGTACAGAGTGCAGGGTTCAGGGGTGCGCTACATACAGAGTGCAGGGTTCAAAGGGTGTGCTACGTACAGAGTGCAGGGTTCAAGGTGGTGTGCTACGCACAGAGTGCAATGTTCAGAAGGTGTGCTACATACAGAGTGCAGGGTTTAGGGGTGTGCTACATACAGAGTGCAGGGTTCTGGGGTTGCGCTATGTATAGAGTGAAGTTTCAGTTGTGCCCTATGCACAGAGTACATAGTTCAAGGCTGCATTACATGTCAACTGCATGGTTCAGGGGTGCACAATGTACAGGCTGCAGCGCTCAAGGATGCGCTACGTACAGAGTGCAGGGTTCAGGGGTGCGCTACATACAGAGTGCAGGGTTCAGGGGTGCGCTACGTACAGAGTGCAGGGTTCAGGGTGCGCTACATACAGAGTGCAGGGTTCAGGGGTGCGCTACGTACAGAGTGCAGGGTTCAGGGGTGCGCTAGGTACAGAGTGCAAGGTTCAGGGGTGCGCTACATACAGAGTGCAAGGTTCAGGGTGCGCTACGTACAGAGTGCAGGGTTCAGGGGTGCGCTACGTACAGAGTGCAGGGTTCAGGGGTGCGCTAGGTACAGAGTGCAAGGTTCAGGGGTGCGCTACATACAGAGTGTAAGGGTTCAGAAGTGTGCTACGCACAGTGTGCAGAATTTGGGGGTACACTCTGTTCCGAGTGCATGGTTCAGGGATGTGTTACGTAAAGAGTGCATGGTTCAGGGGTGCCCAATGTACAGAGCACAATTTCATTGGTGCGCTACGTACAGACTGCAGCATTCAGAGGTGCGCTATGTACAGAGTGCAGGGTTCAGGGGCATGCTACATACTGAATGCAGGGTTCAGGGGTCTGCTATGTACAGAGTGCAATGTTCAGGGGTGTGCTACGTACAGAGTGCAGGGTTCAGTGGTGCGCTACATACACAGTGCACAGTTCAGGGGTGTGCTACATAGAGAGTACAGGGTTTAGGGGTGTGCTACGTACAGAGTGCAGGGTTCAGGCGTGAACTATGCACAGAGTGCAGGGTTCAGGGATGTGTTAAGTACTGTCACGGACTGCCAGTGCGTCTCCCATCCCCCACCATATCCCTCCACCCCGCCCTTCCCTCTTGCATATTCCGATGTCCATGGAGCTTCCATGGACAGTGCTCGGCCGGCCGTTGCCGAGGCAACCTAGCCGCGTCCCACATGGTTTTTAAAAGACTCACACAGGAAGCAGCCCTTCTCTTTGTTCCTGTCCATACTGCTGGAATCATCTTGCTCCCGGAAAGATGCAGGAGGCTCGGGTGAGGGGGGTCAAGCCTCCCCAGCCATCCCCGCTGCGCACTCTGCAGACCCCCAAAAGGTCAGGACTGTAGCCCTCTGCCATACCCCTGGGTTGGGAGTACCCGCTGCCCTCCGCTGAATGTCCCAGGGTGGGAGTCTCCGCAGCTCTGCATGAGCCCCTCTGCAAGGGTCAGACCCCACAGCTCAGACCCTGCCAGCCTGTCTACTGAGCACTCCTGCACCCTGTCCGCTGCTGAGTGCCCTAAGAGCTGCTGCTGAGGGACCCCGCACGTTGTCTGTGGCTGCGCGTCCCTGAAAGCTGTCTGCTGATCGCTGGCCGTCCCTGGAACGCTGACTGCTGGTCATCCCTGTCTGGAGCCGCCTGCCGCTGAGGGTCTGCAAGCCGCTTACAGTGAGTGTCCATTACTGTCCCTGCTGTGTGCATCGACCACCCGTGTTCCGAACTGTCCCCGCTGTGCGCACAGACCACCCGTGTTCTGAACTGTCCCCGCTGTGTGCACCGACCACCTGTGTTCTGAACTGTTCCCGCTGTTTCCACCGACCACCCGTGTTCTGAATTGGCCCCGGTGTGTGCACCGACCACCTGTGGTTTTGAACCGTCCCTGCTGTGCGCACCGACCACCCATGTTTTGAACTGTCCCTGGTGTGCGCATCGACCACCCGTGTTTTGAACTGTCCCTGCTGTGTGTACCGACCACCCGTGTTTTGAACTGTCCCTGCTGTGTGCTAGGCCAGACTCCACAGCTGGAGTCCTGTTGAGTCCCCGTGACCCCGATGTCCCTAGAAAGCTGGGTGGGAGCTGTGCTAGGCCAGACTCCACAGCTGGAGTCCCGTTGAGTCCCCCGTGACCCCGATGTCCCTAGGAAGCTGGGTGGGAGCTGTGCTAGGCCAGACTCTCCACAGCTAGAGTCCTGTTGAGTCCCCGAGACCCCTGCCCAGGGGTAGGTTGCCCGCCTGTTGCCCGAGTCTCCAATCCGCTGTCCAGTCATGGAGGAAGCTCAGCTGAAGCGTCCAAAGGGGGGGGAAGACACACAAGCCACCCTGCCGGAGAAGACCCCCCGTGCCTGGAATCGTCCCTAGTTTGCGCACTCATCACCCTCCCTGCCATTTGAGTGTCTGTCATTTTGTTGTTTCAATAAAGATTTGTGTGTTCTCCATCTTCTCCGTGTGCTCTGTCCTGCCTACGCTTCCGTTACAAGTACAGAGTGCGAGGTTCAGGGGTGTGTTATGTAACAGAGTGCAGGGTTCAGGGATGTGCTACATACAGAGTGCAAAGTTCAGTGGTGTGCTACGTACAGAGTGCAGGGTTCAGGGATGTGCTACATACAGAGTACAAAGTTCAGTGGTGTGCTACGTACAGAGTGCAGGGTTCAGGGATGTGCTACATATAGAGTGTAAGGTTCAGTGGTGTGCTACGTATAGAGTGCAGGGTTCAGGGGTGCGCTACGTATAGAGTGCAGGGTTCAGGGGGTGCGCTACGTATAGAGTGCAGGGTTTAGGGGTGCGCTACGTATAGGGATAAAAGTGATATTTGCTATATCCTACACCGGGGCGGACTGACCATTTTGGAAACTCGGGCACTGCCCGAGGGCCTGGGGTCAGTAGGGGCCCCATGAGATGACCCTGGTACCTTTTTCATAGGCTTTTTTGAGTTTGGGCAAGGACACAGGGGCCCCATGATCCCCTATTGCCCAGGGGTTCCATTAATTGTCAGTCCGCCCCTGCTCCTACATCATAATTATTATTATTATTATACAGTATTTATATAGCGCCAAAGGGTTTGCTCAGCGCTGTACAGTAGCAAGGGGGACATAACATGAGACAAAGACAGTAACAATACACTACACGAGGGGTTCGAGGGCCCTGCTCTTTCGAGCTTACAATCTAGGAGGGAGGGAAGGTGGCACAGGAGGAGATAGGCTGTGGGGGATGGAGTGGTGGGTGGAGTGGAGGAGGTTAGTTGTTAGGTGAGGTCAGGTGTTAGGTGAGGTGGGGTAGGCTTCCCTGAAGAGGAGGGTTTTCAGGGTGCGCCTGAAGGTGAGGAGGGTAGGTGACATTCTGATGGATATTGGGTTAGGGAGTTCTAGAGGATGGGGGAAGTACTAGAGAAGTCCTGCAATCGTGCGTGGGAGGAGGAGACCAGGGAAATAGAGAGCAGGAGGTCCTGTGAGGAGCGGAGGGCACGGGTAGGGTAGTATCTGGTTATCAGGTCAGTTATGTAGTTTGGGGCGGCGTTGTGAATGGCCTTGTAGGTCAGGGGTTAGCAGCTTGAACTTGATGCGTTGGGCAATCGGGAGCCAATGAAGGGATTGGCAGAGTGGGGAGGCAGATGTGGAGCGCTTGGTGAGGTGGATGAGTCTGGCCGCTGAGTTTTAGGATCGACTGGAGTGGGGATAGTGTTCATTTGGGTAGGCCGGTGAGAAGGAATTGCAATAGTCCAGGCTTGAGATGATGAGGGAGTGTACTCGAGTTGTTTGGTGGTGTCTGGGGTGAGGAATTGTGCGTATCTTGGAGATGTTGCGGAGGTGGAGCCTGCAAGATCTAGATAGCAGTTGGATGTGGGGTAGGAAGGAGAGGTGGGAGTCCAGGGTGACACCCAGGACTTTGGCGTGTGGGGTGGGAGAGATGGTGGCGTTGTTAGTAGTGATGGAGAGGATGGGGGGGGGGGGGCACGGATGGGGTGGGGGGAAGACCAGGAGCTTGGTTTTGGATAGGTTAAGTTTGAGGAAATGGAGCGACATCCAGTCTGATAAGTCGTTTAGGAGGTGGGCGATGCGGGCAGAGAAGTGAGGGGGTGAGGTGGGGGGGGGAGAGGTAAATTTTGGGGTGTCGTTGGCATAGAGGTGGTAATTGAAGCCGTGGGAGTGAATAAGTTTGCCAAGGGAGGAGGTATAGATGGAGAAGAGGAGGGTCCCGAGGTAGGGACAGAGCCTTGGGGGACCCCGACAGAGAGGGGGAGGAGGGGGAGGTGGCAGTATTGTAGGGACGCAGAAGGGGCGTTGGGGAAAGGTAGGAGGAGAACCAGGAGAGAGCGGCGTCCCTGATGCCAAGGGAGTTCAGTTTGGCAAGGAAGAGAGGGTGGTCAACAGTGTTGAAGGCCGCGGAGGGAGGTCAAGGAGCAGGAGAATAGAATAGTGGCCATTGGCTTTGGCAGTTAGCAGGTCATTGGTGATTTTAAGTAGGGCGGTTTCGGTGGAGTGCAGGGGGGTGGGAAGCCAGACTGTAGGGGGTCAAGGAGGTTGTTATCAGTGAGGTGGGCGCTTAGGCGGTTGTAGACCAGGCACTCAAGGAGCTTGGAAGTGAAGGGCAAACAAGGGAGTATGGGTCTAAGGTTGTTAAGGTTAGTGGGTCATGGGAGGAGGTAATTTTTTTTGAGTATGGGGGTGATGTGTGCGTTAACTTAGAGGGGAGGGGAAGGTGCCTCCCTGTGGAGAGGGAGAGATTGAAGATGTGGGTGAGGGGGAGCGGATGGGAGGGATGGTCGGGGGGGGGGTGGGGGGGGGGGGGGGTATCAAGTGGGGGGGGGTGTGGCTATGAGGGGGGGGGAGGGTGGGGGGGGGGGAGGGGGTGGGGGGGGGGGGGGGGGGGGGGTTGTGAGTGGGTGTATGGTCATTCTGCCAGGGTGAAGCGGTCGAGGTCTGATGTTACGTGTGGTTCAGGGGTGCCAGGGAGTCTAGGACAGTGACAGTGAGTTGGTTGTATGCAGTAGTGGCCAGGTCAGGGCATGACAGAGGGAGGATGCTGGTCATACAGACGGTCAGCTGCTGGGTGGGAGATGGGGTCGGGTTCAGATTGCGGAGGTTGCGGGTGATGGTTAGACGCTGGAGGGGGGGGGGGAATTGAGGGGAGGGGGAGATGGAGAATGTGGGGGAGGTGGTGGTCAGAGAGAGGGAAGGGGGTGTTTAGTGAAGTCGTGGGGGGTGCAGAGGTGGGAGAAAACGAGGTCCAGGGTGTTTCCCGTTGGGGTGGGTGGAAGGACTGGGGGGTGTGATTCGGTGGAGCGGAAAGGAGGAGGTTAGAAGGAGGAGTTGGGAAGTAAGCCGGGCTGTTGGCGGGATCTGGATATTGAAGTCGCCTAGGATGATGGTCGGTAGCTCGGAGGAGAGGAAGAAGGGGAAGCCAGGCGGCAAAAGTCGTCAACGAAGGGGGATGCGGACCCAGGAGGCCAATAGATTACCGCAATCCTTAGGGGGGTGGGAGAGAAGAGCCGGATGCAGTGGGCCTCGAAGGAGGGGAAGGATAGGGAGGGGGGGGGTTAGGGAGGACCTGGAAGGTGCT